GTCCTGGTTGTCCCGAAGGTACTTTTTTTTCAGGGGGGAACTGGAATTTCCTGTTTTTTCTTTGGAAGACTTTTTGCTTCTCGTCCCAGAAGCTTCTTCAGCTCTGACAGGACAGTGGGGAATGGAAGGGTTTATACTCCTTGCAGACCGCGGGTCATCTGCATCCTTTTAGAGGGTGCTTGAAGCACTTGGAGGTTTATCTGTGTCCAGTGGGTCACCTGAGAGGGACTCCTGGGTCCTGCAGTCTGCAATTTTGTCTTCTCTGGAAATCCCTTCCTACTCCCACACCATGTTTTCTTGATTCCAGAAGGCAGGAAAAGATGAACAATGGGTGATTCCTCATCGTTTTAGCCATTGCCTAAATCGGTCCTGCGCTTTCTTTTGCTAGTTGGGCCTGCCAATACTTGCTGATGTCATCTCTCCATCTTGTTTCAGGTTTCCTTTGTGGACACTTTTGATCCAGTGGGATCCATTCTATGACTGCCTTGGTCCACCTACTCTCAGTTCTCCTTGCTATGTGACCAACCCACTTCCATTGCAATTCTTTGACTCTCTTGATGGCATTGTGTGTGTGCGTTTGTTCTCTCATCCATGCGCACGATGCCTTTCTATCTTCTCTTGTAAGAAAGGAAATTTCACTTGGACTTCAGGAAATAAGTTTGACCGCTATTCAGCAACGGGCACGGGGGGGGGGGGGGGGGAGTGCACTGTCCTTGGCTGAAGAGGTTTAAAGGGAGGCCTTCTCGGCTGCCTATTGTAGTAGTCTCTTCCTATCCTGCGCAGGGACAGCTCTCTGTGGCCAGCTCACCAGCACCAACTTGCTGCAGGCAGGCAGAGGGAGAGCTCGGTGGGTGAGCAAGCTGGTGGGCAGACTGCAGGGCGGGAGGGACAGTGGGGAGGGGGTGGCCGTGGGCGTCCCATTTTCACACCCATCGTCGCTGCCGCCGCGCTAGGCTGCAAGGGGACGAGGCCAGGGACGGCGGCAATGGCCGTTGCGGTGGTCAGCAGGGAAGCAGTGGGGGCTGGGGGCATCCCATTTTCCCACCCACTGTCGCTGCTGATGCGGAACTGCTGCTTCACTGAACTCACACGGCAGCCGCATCGGGGGCAGCTTTGAGCCTGGCGTGGCTGTGGCATCAGCAGCGGTTCTGAGCCCTCGGGCTGCCCACGGTGAGTTGTCCCTGCGGCCAGTTGGCTGCATGGAGATGTCCTGTGGCGATTTAGCGGCAGCGAATTGGTAGCAACGGTTCTGGCTGCAGTGAGTTATTCCATTCTGCTGGGCAATGGGTTGGACTAGTTGATACCCAAAATCTCTTCTAACCTTCAGAAACAGTAGAGAATAACCAGGAATCAAGATAATTAGAATAGGGTGTAAACCTTAACACACACACCCATTTGAAATAAAAGTTATATGGGAAAAATTAGGTAACAAACAAGGAAATACATTTTATTTTGATCGTTTGCATAGAAGGTTCAGTTTTATCAAGCAAGGCCGGAAACCGGATTAGTTGCCTTTGACTAGCAGAAAACTTTCTCATTTGGGCAAAACACACGCTTCCAATTCCATTTGCCAGTAATCATCTTAAAGGAGTGTCTCCATTTGTATTTTGATTTATAACCAAAAAGGTTTTCATATAATTACAAGTGATGATGTGTAACTATCAACTGGATTTAATTTTTCTTGTTCCTCAGAGTGAGTGGGTGTGTTATCTGGTTATCTGGTTTGGAGGGAGTGTCGTTTTTGGAAATAAATTGTAATTTTTCCGGTATACAGAATTGCCTCACTTCTGACTCCCTTTTCCTGAAATATGTAAAGCTATTTAGGCTCATGGGAATGCAGTCTGCTCTCACGCCATCTCTAATTGGCTTCAGTTTTGTTTTGTATAAAATAACGATACTTTCCTTGTTCATAACGTTTTTTTCTCAATGGCAAAGTTATGAAATTGGCAAGCACATACGTAAAAAAGAGTCAAATGGAAAAAGCTATCGACAGGTCAGTATGTGTTGGTTGCTTTTGATCCCTTCTTTTCTGTACATAGGAGAGAATATTTATGTGTGAGGGATGCTTTTGTAACTTTAAGAAGATCTGCATTGGAAAGTAGAGGATGGGAGGGCATATCAAGGCCCAGTCCAAGAGTGAAAGCAATACAACCAAGCTTCGGTTTTGATCTGCTCATGCCCAGTAGAAGAGGAAGCCTTTGCGCTCTCAGCCTAGAGAGGTTCTTAGGGAGTGGCTGTCTTAGCACACTTCCTCTGTCTCCTCTCCAGCTCCAGGCTGTGTCGCGTCTCCACCTTGCCTTGGAATGTGCTCCCTCGTTCCTAAGAAATGCCTTCTTCACTGCAGTCCACCCCCGGGCAGCTCTCTTAGTTCTGGAGCTCTTCACTGCTTTTCCTACCATCAGCTGTGGTGTCCTTCCAGGTTGTCTGGGGGAGTTGAAGCGGGGAGATACTTTTGCAGGGATTCCATCCATTCCTCTTGGGACATACCCAGAATGTGGTGCTGTGGGGGACTCACGCTCATCCCCTTGATCATTGATTGGTGCTCTCCCACAGAGCTCTGTCAACAACTGCAACAGGACCTCGCTTGGAAAGTGGCCAGAGTTGCATTTGGTGCAAAAGGTGATGACCAGATTGGTGCAAGAAACAGGGATCATGTAGCACCTAGGCTGAGAGATTGGCAGAGGTTGCTGGCTCTGATTGAAGATGCTGGTCTTCAGCTTTAAAGCCCTGTGTGACCCCATGGCCTCCCATGAAGCTGTCCATTTACTTGGACCAGCAGAAGAGGCCCTTCCAAAGACGACCCCATTGCCAGAAACTCTTCTTTCGCCAAGGAGAAGAAGATCCTCTCCTGTGTGGCTCCCAGACTGTGGAATCATCCCTCAAAGAAGTATGTTGGGAACTACTCTTTTAATATTCAGGACAGAGACCGCAAAACCAAGTCTTGACTGGGAATTGAACAATATAATGAGACTGATTTTAATTGCATTTTCTACTTGTATCTTTGGATTCTTGTAAGGCCCTTTGAGAACTAGTTTGGTGTAATTGTTAAGACATCAGGCTAGAAGCTGGGAGACTGAGTTCTATTCCCACCTGGGACACAAAACTAGCTGGGTGATCCTGTGCCAGTCCTGTTTTCTACCATCCCTTCTATCCACTCTATCTTTTTGTTATCTGCAAAATTGGTACTCACCTTTTCTATTCTTTTATGCAAGCCTTTATAAATACAACAAATAGCCCAGGTGTCAGCTATGGAATTCATCGCTGCCACATAGTTGAAGAAAGGTGGGGTGGGGTGATGTTAATTGAGTAGCTCTTAGAAGTCAGATCACAGAATCTGCACCTTAAATTTTGACTAGAAAGAACTATTTTCATTCCAAGAAAAGTAATAGTACAACCTATTTTGCAAGATGTAGCCCACTGCAGCTCTCAATACAGCTGCCACTGGCTGCTCAGAGGACAATCAGATATCCTCTATCTGCAGATCCTTGAAAAAGAGAACAAATGACAGCTGATCTGACAAGAGGAACTTTTTTTTTTGAAGACAGAAAAGAGGAGAGACTAATCAGACTGACATAAACACCCAGGAAGACTCTAGAGCAGATGATAAAGCAATTTGATCCTATAAATAATGCAGTTATTCCAATAGTAAATATTTACCAGTAACAAATCTCAGATTAACCTTATTCATTGTTTGACTGCTAGTTTCCTAAATAAGTTGTGGGGATTCTTTGGGCATTTCATATTTTAATTTCAGCAAAGCACTTATTGACGTATTCCATGATAATCTAATTACAAGCCATTTCATATAGTTTAGTTGGCATGTCTGTTAGGTGGATGTTCACCATTAGGAGAGAGAGGAGAGCGAGAAGGGCGCCTGCGTTTTTTTACATGGAGTATTTTCACAAGCCTTTTCAACAAGCCTATAGAAAAGCAGCAATAGAATTTAGCTGAACCTTTCTTCCGTGAATGAAAACTTCTATTTTTCAAAAGGCAAATGTACCTGGTAGGCTTTCTAAGTTAACTTCTGAGAAGGTTTTCCAAAACAGACTTGTAGGTTCCTTCTGTTAGATCAGGGCTGTGATCAAACTCTCAGCCTGCAGGCCAGAGGCGTCAAGCAAGCACTGGCCACGCCGCCAATGCCCGGTTTAGCGAAGGAGGGAAAAGTCACGACACGTCACGTGACGCCGCCATGACAATGCGACTTTGACACCCCTGTGTTACATTGTTGAAATGCCATTTGATCACGGAGTGGAAGTTACTGTACAGGTAGTCCTTGACTTAGGACCACAATTGAGCCCAAAATGTGTGTTGCTAAGTAAGATGCTTGTTCAGTGAGTTTTGACCCATTTTACAACTTTCCTTGCCACGGTTGTTAAGTGAATTGCAGTTAAGTTAGTAACCTGGTTGTTCAGTGAATCTGGCTTCCCAGATTTGGCTTTGCTTGACGGTAGGTCACAAAAGGGGATCACAGGACCCCGGAACACTGCAACCGTCTTAAATGTGCCAAGCAGCTGAAGGTTGATCCCCTGACCATGGTGGGCCTTCTGCAACAGTCCTAAGTCACGTCGTTCAGTGCTGTTGTAATTTGAATGGTCCCTAAGCGAATGGCTGTAAGTCAAGGACTAGCTGTGCCTGAAGGCCGCGATGTGCCAGGCCATCTGGCTGGGGTTTAGAAAGCCAGCCAGGGGCTTCCCCTTGGAGCCGCTCCTGTTCAGAGCTGCTGATTCGGACTGACACGGCCTCCCCTGTTTCGGGAGGATGTCGCCCACTTGTGGCGGCGGCAGCAACGTGTGCATTCTTATTAGCTGACATATTACTCACTGGTTGAGCATGCACTGAATGTATTATTAGCCATTTTTTTCCTATCGCCCTGCTATCAAGTACCCGGAGAATCAGAAAATAGCTCTGGACCCGTGTGAGACTGTCTGCATATTGTTTACAGGATATTTTGGACCTGGGTAATACTTACCATGTCGGAATTGCCGCAGCAGTAGTTGGTGCCACTGCCCAAAGGCTGCAAACCAAAGCCAGGCGCTCCACGGAGGTTTCCTTCCCCAGTGCCAGGCAGTGGCAGCCCAAGCCGTTGTCAGGACATGCTGGGGAGACGGTTGGGCTTGGCAGAGTTCGGGAGGCTTTTCAGTCATGAGGACTGAAGAAGAGCCGGGGGATGAAGAGAGCCTGGCTGAGGATCCCAGCTAAGAAAACATGGCCAGGATGCTTACAGCAGGGCAGCAAAAGCCCAGATGACATCGCGTCTCCTCCTTGGGCTCAGGCGGGCTGTTTTGGTTCTGTAGTGGGTGAATTGTTTGCTCTCAGCTTCTAGGATTTGGAACTCTAGGATGAGTTGCTGGTTTTCATGTGCTCTTAAAAACGGAGTAGGTACCATGTGTGTGATAATAAGCCAAGCAATTTTGGGCAGTGCAATCTTAAATTTGTTCCACTACGTATGATCCCTTTTTAATTTTGGTTGACTTCCACAGTTGTAAAGATTTTGTTTATCATTATAATTTTCTTCAGTTATTGGTTAAATTACAACTACATTTACATCAAAGATGTTAGATAAATTTACATAATCTAGTGTAGAAAAAGTTTGAATTTATTGACATATTTATTGACAGGTATTTGTAGAATGTGTAATTTTTAAATGCATTTCAACTATAAATGGTTATTGTTACTGTGACAAACCCTCCAAAATATTTTTTTAATGTCACTTGTGGCAATTTTTTTAAAAAGTTGAATCATTAACTTTGCAACTTATGAACTGTTGTAAAGTTTACTAAAGGAAGCATTTATTTCCCTAGGATTGAAACTCCAAGAGGCATTTTTGGAAGAAGCCAGTATATATATATGTGTTTCAGTCTGTACTATATAGATAAAATGAGGTGATTGAAATAACATCTTTTTTGGACTCAAAATGTCCCTGCCTTGCTGGGACTCCCCTAACTTGGAAGGATTGTGTCAGTGATTTCCCGGTCCAGTTCAGCTGTATATTTGCTGCAAATGTTTAGCCCATGCTCAAAGCTAATGAGGCATTTTGGAGCAAGGGGCACATTTTGTGATAAGCAGTGGATTGGGAAGTAGAATTCTTCCTGTAGATGCTTGGTTTCTTTGAATCTTTGATTTCAGGATCTGGCGGCAGTTTGGAAGGAATGGAAGACAAACTGCAAGACATTTTGGGAAGGTTCATCCAGTGCTGCATTTCCATCACTTCCTTGGTGCTGTGACTTCCAGTCTCATGTTTGTGATGCTCTTGCAGTATCTGACCTGGTTTTGAAAGGGTGATTTCATTTGATTTGATTTAGCTTGGAAAGGATACAAATGGATCTGAATGGGGTTATGAGGTAGGTCTGTTTGGCAAGCGGGAAAGAGCTCTGAAAAGAGCTAGGAGGAGAAAGTTTAGAGAGCAACAGGGCCGGGAGTGACCCCAGGCCACCCAAGTCCAGTAAAGGCCACCATGAGTTGTGGGATAATGAGTTAAAATGTCTGCATCTGTTTTGCTCATTGATTTTGACCGGGGAAGTTGAGGGGGCTCTTGCCTGAGTCTAAAGGGACTTGGCATACAGACAGATGGCGGCCTCCCTCTGTTTTGTTGAAGCCATGTAGACAACAACTGCGGGTGTTCATCTTCAAATTGGATTGTGGAGATGGGAAAGATGCAACTATAATTGTGTACTTCTCATTTTAACTGCCCTCTGAGGTTCTCCTTCCACAAGGGAAGCTCTGTTGTGGACGAGGAAACGAGCGAAATTAGAAGAGTGGTTTGTAAATGGTGGCTTGCAATGCAAATTGGACAATACTTCTTCCTTGATGCATGGATGTGAACGCACTTGCTTCAAAAAAGTCGCCTGCTCTGGTAGCTCCTGTCCTCTCCGGCTTTTCTTTTTATGCAATGCTTTCCGCAGGATTGGCTGAAGAAAACAAGCACATTGTGTGCAGTATGAATGGAGTCGATGGCGCTTATGCCTTTTGTTTCTATCTCATCTACTAGACGAGACCGATACTCTCTAGATTCTCTGGTTATTTTTTTCCTTGAAGTTTAATCTTCAAGGAGTCGGGAGAACAGGAGAAAAATATTTGCTTGAATTGTGGTTCAGATGCTGTTGCTCTCATGTGGGAAGCTGTGGGATCACACCCAGATACTGTTTTTTCAGTCTGTGGTAACGATCAGAGCTGGGGAGGATGAGGAGATTTTGAGGGGGGGGGGGAAAAGACTGATTGAAAACCAAATAATACAGCCTGTGCACAATTATTAGGCAAGTTGCATCTTGGAGGATTAATTTCAGTATTGAACAACTTCAGTCCTCTCGGCCAATCCAAAATGCTAATAAACCTCAAACCTGAACACTTAAGAAAGTAAAAGTGAGGTTTTGGCTTTCTTAGGAGAATATGCACATATTGGGCAACTATGCAACTCAAGGAAATATGAAAATTTCCCCATCTTGTTTGTTTTCATCTGTTAAAGTGAGAATAATAAGCAAACAATTCAGAATGCACCAATGAACACTTCTGATCATCAGTGAGCAATATAGCCGCCCTTCTTTTCAGTGACAGTCATAACCTCCCACTGATGGGAGTCCGATGGTTTGTTGATCTGTTGACGATCAACTTTTTGTGCAGCAGGAACCACAGCCTCCCAGACACCGTTGAGAGAGGTGGACTCTTTGCCTTCTCCGTAAATCCCCCCTTTCAGAAGGGCCCACAAGTTCCCCGTTGGGGTGAGTCAGGTGAGGAAGGGGGCCCTGTCATCATTCCGACATCGTTAAGGCCTTTACTGGCCAGCCACGCAGTGGAGTAGGTTGGTGCGTGCAATGGAGCCTTGTCCTGCATGGGCTTCTTGAAAGATGCAGACATTTCCGGTACCACTGCATGAAGAAGGTGTCTTCTAAAAGTGGCAGCAGGTTTGAGAGTTGATTTTGAGTCCACCTTCAACTGGAAAAAGTCCAACTAGGTCACCTCTAATGATACCAGCCCATACCAGTACCCCACCTCCACCTTCCGCCTGGTCCGTCAAGGATCATTCTCATCTCTTCAGTCCATGAAACCTTTGAACAATCTGTCTTCAGGTATTTCTAGGCCCAGCCTTGCCGTTTCAACTTTTGTGTCTTGTTCAGTGGTGGCCGGGTTTCAGCCTTCCCTGCCTTGGCCATGACTCTGAGCACTGAACACCTGGCACTTCTGGGCCCTCCAGGTAGGTTGCCGTTCTGGAATACGACACCACTGGAGGGTAGTGAGTTCCCAGTAGCCTCACGTTTGATTCTTCCTGAATCTTTGGCAGTTAATGTGTGTCTTTTTTCTCTCTACGCATTTCTTGCAGCCCTGATGACTATTTGCAACCAAAGATTTGATGGTTCTGAGATCACACACCAATATCTTAGCAATTTCAAGAGTGCTGCATCCCTCTGAAAGACTTTTTACATTTTTTGACTTTTGAGAGTCAGTTAAATCTCTTTTTTTTTTTTTGGCCTATTTTGCTTGAGGAGAAGAAGCTATACTAAAAATAATACTAAATAGTACTAAAATAAATAATACTAAAATAATCAGTTTAAAGTGGCTGCTAAAATGTAATTGAGTAGAGTTATTCCTTATATTCTTAGGCCAGAGTAAGGCTTCCTCCAGGGAGTTTGCCTGTAAAAGTGCTTACAATCTGACTTTTGAAGTGGTTTCTCCATTTACAGTGTGTCAGAGCAGCAACAATTCTTTTAGCTCATCCATTTTTATACAAAATACAAATACAAAATAAAAATATTTTTTGGAATTCCTGCTAGATTCTCCAATACTGATGCTTATTATATATTTTTTTGCATTTTTCAAACAGTTGACTGCAGATTGGAACAAATATGATGATCGTTTGATGAAAGCAGCTGAAAGGGGTGATGTGGAGAAGATCTTGTCTGTCCTTGCTAAAAAAGGAGTGAACCCCACAAAACTGGATCTAGAAGGGAGATCTGCGTAAGTAGAAGGATAAGTTTGATTGGAACTATCCCCCCAACCATTGGCAGTTTTGGGAGAAACCTGCATGGGCAGCTCTTCATCTGAACTAGATTTTCCAGAGGGATGTTATTCCTAATAGTCCTTAATATAAACTTGATTTAGTGTTTATTTCTTAGGAAACCTCCTTAACCCTTAAAAAATAATGCCGTAGAAAAATTCTTAAATAAATAGAAAGTTGTTGAGGCTTTTATGCTGGGAAGGGAATTTCATATTTATAACTCATATTGTGTTTTGGAATAACCAGCTTTATTTGAAATTCTGAAATTTAAAAATATTTAGAGAAGCATGGGAGGGAACCACTTTTGCAAACATTCTATAAGACTTTCTCTTTAAGCAACATCTGGAAATTCAAATGTTTTTTTTTTTAATTAAAGCCGAACTCCTATTTCACAATATGAAAACTTTTCTGAAAAAAAAACCCTGAGATATATAGTTGTGCAGTGAGGGATACCTGTCATGATATTGTGGATGAAAAGAATTTCAGATTGTAATCAAGGAGAAAATTAGTGAAATGATACACAGGTAGTCCTCAGTTTATGTCCATTTGTTCAATGATGGCAGAGCTGAAAATCTGAATGCATGACCAGGTGTGAGATTCTGGCCCTTGCAGCACCCCTGCAGACGCTCATTCCTGATCCGGGTGCCCAGCTCATGATTACAACGTCCCGGGGAGCCCCAGTAACCCCCCCCCGGCAACCTTCCCTGCTGACTCTCCACAGCCAAAGTCACAGCAGGAGGTTTGCCAGTCCCTCCAGATTTCTCCCCCTCCCAGGATCCTGGGCGACCTGTGCCGGCCGGCCCTGCAGGGCCTCCCCTGAGATTCCCATTAAGAAAAGGAAAGATGTTGGTAACTTCCAAATCTTCTAACACCCGAAGAATATCAGCTGTAAATGACTCTGCAGAATGGCTTTCTCTCTGAGGTTGAAAAGGATGAGAAGGATGATTGCTTGGAATGTCCTGCAGAAGCTTTCTTGAACCCTTTGTGAGCCTCTAGTGAGCCTAGATTTGAGGACAGCCTGTCTTGACCATATCAGGCCTTGGGGGGGGGGGGGGGGGGCTCAAGGGCTGTGGCAGCTACTCAGAACTAAACATGGTAGTAAAGGAAGTAACATGTGGCCACACTGCTCTGGGGAGACTCTAGGTCTGCGAGAGGATTCTGGTGCATCTTTTGCCCCCTGCGGTAAACAGGGCGGGGTCTCACAGGGCCACCTCTTGGTTGGCACTGCGCCCTTCAGAGACCTGCCCCTCCGTCATCTGTTGGGGTCGGTCAGTCAATCCTAGCACGACCATGAGCTTTACAAGCATGTGGTGGCACATATTAGTGGGTTATATAAAGTGCAGGATTTAGTTTTACTTTAGCTGGAGCTGAGGAAGCTCATATTCTAAAGTCCAGGGGCCATTAGAAGGCTGTTTATTTGGATATTTTTTTTTTCTAAAACAGGGTTGTCCAACTCAAGGCTTGGGGGCAGAATCCAGCCCATAGGATGCTTAGATCTGCCCGCAGGGCCGCCCTGGAAACAGCAAAGGACTGTCCTGTTGTGCCTCTGCCAGAGAAAATAGGAGCTCACAGCCCCCCTGGCCTCCATTTTTGCTAGCAGAGGGTTGCAGGAGGCTGTCGCAGCAGAAAACAGAGCTTGGGAGCTGGTTTTCACTGGGAAAGTGCTCGGGCCACCACAGGCATGAGTGATGTCAAGCTGGCCACGCCCTCACGCCCCATCCCTCTGAGGTCAAACACAAGCCTGATGTGGCCCTCAATGAAATCGAGTTTGATACCCCTGTTCTAAAATGTTTCTCTCTTCCAACTCACATGTTGGACGAATTTCAGCTCTAGAACTGGGAGAAAATTCTCTTGGACACTCAGTAGAATTTACGTTACTTCTACAGAATAAACTTGTGCAGGTGTTCAAGACATTACTTTTTTTAACCTTCCGTTTCACTCAGATTCCATGTTGTAGCCTCAAAGGGTAACCTCGATTGTCTGAATGCTCTTCTTCTTCATGGGGTTGACATTATCGCCACTGATATAGCAGGTATGACTTCCTTGTTTAAAATAGAACAATTACATGTTGTTACTTAAACAGCTTTGAAAGCCCAACTAATGTATTGTGTATCTGGCCCTATAAGCCTGTTGGGTTCCATGGTGCTTGTTTTGTGGCCTGTGATTTGAACTGTAGTATCTTATTGACAAAAAAAGAGAGAGAGAGAGAGAGAGGTGTAGAACTATTTATTCTGCACTATAAATCAATTTAAATTGAGAAAAAAAACCCAGTTTTCTTTCTTTTCCTTGAGCCATATAATTTACCAATTGCAAGCTACACAGGGTTATCTTTGTATGTATAAATCTCTGGGCGTTTGAGGAGAGGGGATAGGCATTTCTTTGCTTGTGTATATGGCATATATATTCTGGCTATGTTTAAAATGTCCTTGTTAATTCTTCTCTTCAGGAAGGACTGCTCTACATTTAGCAGCAAAATATGGACATGCACTTTGTCTGCAAAAACTGCTGCAGGTATTAAATAGTTGACAAATTGTTAAATGTTATGTAGAAAAGAAAGCATGATAGGGAATTTTGTTTCTTTGCATGAGGAAAATTCAGGATCTTGATTAGCTATATATAGTAGTTATCAAATGTCCAGTGGGGTTTCAAAAAAGCCGATTAACTCTGCATAGTAGGGGCACTTTCTGTGCATCTGCAAGATTCTCTTTGAGAAGGTCAGTGGAGGTTAATGCAGGTTTTGTGTGTAGCAAATCTATCCATGAGTGAGGGGGAGAAATGCTTAGAAAGGAAGCCCTGTAGATCAAGAGACCATGTGGAGCTTGTGGACTGATTTTACAGAAGGCTTCGTTTGCTAATGTTCCTGTAGGCATTATTAGAGTAGGTAGGATGTGGCATAATAAGTCTGCTTTTTAAATGAGTGTTCCTGATCCATGCGTGTAACATTTTTGAATGAACATGTACTTGAAGTACCGCTTGAAGTGTTGCCATGTTTAGGTTCTGTTATTATGAAAATGTAATGGTAAATATTGAAGGTATTAAATCTCAACACAATGGTAATAAGGTACGCTTGTTTCTTCTACAGTACAACTGCTCAACGGAAAATGTGGATCTGCAAGGACGGACTGCTCTTCATGATGCGGGTAAGGGACAGGCCGTGTGGGCAACCAGGATTCCTAATGGAATGAGCAAACTAGCAGAGCTATAAACAACATGGAAAAGTCAATGATTAGTGCAGATGCTGCTAGTGTTTCACCAAAAGATGGATGTTAATTGTTTAAGGAATTTTTTTTATTACCTCAGTACTTTGAAACTGATGCATTCTGATTGAGAAATTGGCTATTAGATATTAGTATTATTAAAAACAGTCCAGATACTTGTTCCATAGATCCTGCAGCCAATGAATAATCTGCCAATAGTTAAATCTTAAAGTTTCCACCAGTAACATCTATCGTTTTGCTTCCCAAAGCAATGTCGGATTGTACATCCAGCATCCAGTTGCTATGTGACCATGGAGCCGCGGTGAATGCCAGAGATGCTGTAAGTTCTTTCAGAATCTTCGTTCAGGATGGGCCAAGTTCTTGGTGCTTTTTCTTTCTTTTTTAATAAAACGTTATTAAGCGGTACCATTACAGGGGTACCTTGGTACTCATCATTATTTGGTTCTGGGAGGTGTAATGAGTACCAAAAATGATGAGTACCAAACATTTTTTTCCTATAAGGAATATAATGTAGTGAGTCACACAAGGCCGCAGACACTAGCAAGTTCTAGCTTGTGCATCGAGTACCAAACGAACGATGAGTGCCAGGACAAAATTTTCATATCAACATGCATCAAGTACCAAATTTGATGAGTTTCAAAGCAGTTGAGTATCAAGATACCAAATACAAGCGGGGAAAAACAAGAATAAGAAAAAATAGGATTTACAGAAAAGAAAAAATAGAACAGAAAGAAATAAGAATATAATAAAGGAATGAAGTAAATGAAAAAGAGACTTCTGCCTTATCACAAGTATAATTGTAGTAACTTAAATACAGCAAATGATCTTTTCTTCCTCTATTCCATCTTTTGTCTAAACAAATCCATAAAACCTCATTTCACTCCTGATGTCAGCAAAAATCCATTAAGGATTACTAGAGGTAAAAACTTACATATTTAACCTTGATCAAATAAGCCAACTTATATTCCTTCCTTTTACCTCTAGCAGTTTTAATCTTTAGTCCCTTCAAATAATGTTGTGAAACTTGATTTCTTTTAATTGTTTCTTTGTTCCTGCTCACAAAATTCTTCAAAATGTTAACAAGCCTATTTTGTAAATCCAATATAAGAAAATTTTAGATCACTTTATTTGTTACGTGTATATCTCCTTTTTAAAGAAATGAGATATACATTTCTTTTATACATTTTTCAAAACAAAACCATTTTCCCATGGGAAGGATTCTTTACAATGAATTTCAAAATCATATTTCAAATTTACCTGGACCCTACATCCATTTGCAACTTTGTAAAATCAAAGCCTGGCTTTTGCTGTTTGTTCCAAAAAGTCTTTAAAAAAAAGTTCTTAAATTTGTAGTTAAAACTTTTTAAATTAAGGATTGAAGGAAAATCATCACTATAAAACCTGTCAATGCAAAGACTCCCCATAGCTGAAAAGCAGTTAACAAACAATTTCTGAAGGAGGCCTTATATGATGTGTATTTTGTGACGCTTCAAGGACACTAATTGTGCTTTGAGTAAGATGGCTGTCGCTTTTTTCCTGGAGCTCTAAAGGCGCTGGAGAGGGCTGTGAGCTTTCTGGAGCTTGGTGGGTGATCTCAAGTCCACTCCTTGTCTGGGGAGGAATGATCGAAGAGCAGACGCACTTGCCAGTACTTCATTCTCCCCCAGGCATCAGCTCCCTCTTTCATGATTCCGCCTGCCATTTCTTCCCCAGAAGTCCAAGTGTCTTGTTCTTTTGCCAGGATGGAAGGACACCATTGGTGCTGGCCACTCAGATGTGCCGTCCAACTATATGCCAGTTTCTGCTAGACAGAGGTGCTGAAGTTAATGCAAGAGATAAGCAAAATCGGTAAGATACCTTCCTGCAAGTCATCTATAGGTAATCTATCTACATGCTTCTGGAAGACGTTAAGAGTTAGTTTCTCTGTAGTAAAACCCTACTGAGACCAAGAAATTGTGAGTTTTGGGCCCCATGGATTCTGTAACTAGAAATATTTCATCCTTGACTCGGATCTCGCCTTGCCTGCCTTGAATTTGGTGCCCAGTTTGGAGGTTCTCCTGGATTCCCAGCTCCTGTTTGAAGAGCAGCTGGCAGCTGTGGCCAGAGGGGTCTTTGTGTATGCCATCATATGTGCCACTTCTGCCTGTTCCTGGGGTGGGGGCCCTCTTCTCAGCTGCTAATGTCTCATTCACCTCCTCGTGGGCTATTCAACACTGTATTCATGGACTGCCCTTGAAGACTATCTGGAAGCTACAATTCGTTCAAAGTGCATTGAGGTGGGTAGTTTGGGGCATCTTTTGTAATAGCCACGTGGCACCTGTATTCTGTGACTTGCACTGGCTTTCAGTGGGCTTCTGAGAACAGTCCAAGGTGTTAGTTACACCCTGTATAGCGGGTGACTAGGGCATTTGTGGGATCACCTGGCCAGAAGCATATCTGAACAACATATCTGACTGGACAGTCCCACACACTCCTGCCATGAATCAAGACCACCTGACAGGGCCCAGCTTCCGCCTTGATCAGCCCTCCAGGCCATTAGCAGGCGGTCAAGATCTGGCTTGTTCCCCGGCCCCAATTTGAGCAGTCACAATTGATTTCTGCTGTAATCCCTGATGGTTTTAGTGGGTTCTAAGGATACCTGTTGTTTCTTTTTATATTTGATGGTTTGGATTTTTTCAATTTTTGTACACTACCTAGAGTCTCATTGTCTGAGTTGGGAAGCCATATGAATGATACAAGTAAATAACTAGGTGCTTAATATAATTAAAAAATAACTGTATGAAAAGCCCGCCCTCTGCATCCTTCTGGACAGTCACCTGATCTCGGAGGCCAATCAGGGAAGGAGGGAGGGGTGTGGTCAGTTGGCGAAGGAGGCCCCGCCTCAGGCAAGTTGGTTGAGTTTGTGAGGGTCTCTTGTATTTGAACGGCATTTACATTTCTGCAGATTTCGGTGTTTCTGTAGGCCGCTTAACTGGGAGAGGGTTGGGTGGCCACATAGAGAGTTTCTTAGTAAGTAAATAAATACGTCAATGATGCGCGCGGGGAGCCTTTGGATTTTGGTCGACCAGGCTGAGCTCCCAACTCCCACCGTGGCCGCTGGCTTTCCCTTCGTGGTAACCCTTTCAGGCTCCTCCGGCTCCCGAAGTGGGGACGGGAGGGGAGGCAGCAGCGGCACCGGAGAACTCTCCCAACCCCCACTATACTACTGAAATTTTCTTTCATAGAGCATCACTTTTCATGGTACTCCATAAAATAAACTGGGGCTAAAGTGACAGCTTGAACTTTGTACATTGCGCATTTCTTCCTCCTAAATGCGCATAAAGTTTCGTGAGGTAATACTGTAATTTATGAAAGGTTAGTAGTTACAACATGAAAACCTGTCTCTGTCCGGCATAAAAAAAACAGCTGGAATTGTATCACAGCCATGCAAGGCCCGTGCTCATTCCTTCTTGGCCCCTTTGGTAACAGGAATGGCTGAAGAAATGACAGAACTCCAGGCACATCTGGAAAAGGCACCCTGGCCAGGCTGTTTAGTGTGACGGGAGCTGTGCATTTAGGCCGATTTCCTTGCGAAATCCTGGTGGGGCATTTTGTGGATGTGCTTGTCAAGACGACAAGTTTCCAGCCTTTCCTGAGGATCCGTTCATTGACTGTACATCGCTCGCATAAAAGCACAAATCTATTTCCACTGGCAAGAGGGATCAAGCAGAAATAATCAAGCGGCTGGCACTAGAATAGGGGTGGTCCTCCCCTAAACGAGAATTGTTTAGTGACCGCTCAAAGCCACACTGGCACCGAAAAAAAGTGGCTTTCAGGTGATCTTCTTCACTCTTAGGACGATCACAGCAACCTCGTGGTCCCATGTTCACAATTCAGGGACATGGCAGCCGGCAGGTACTGCATCTGCATGCTTTCTTCTTTCTCCTGCAGGACCGCCCTGATGTTGGGCTGTGAATACGGCTGTAAGGATGCCGTAGAGGTTTTGCTCAAAAACGGAGCTGATGTTACTTTGGTTGATGCGCTAGGCCATGACTGTTTTTATTACGCACGAATCGGGGACAGTACTGAAATCCTGTCTCTGATCAAGGCTGCCTTTGAAGAGTCCAGAAAAGGTACATCAGCTTTTTTTATATTTGCGGGGGAAATTTCTTCTTCGCTCGTGACACTGCCATCTCCTGGTGGCTTCTGCCCATCTGGTGGAAGATCTGGTTCCCCCTTTGGTTCATTGCCAGAGGCTCGGAGGGTTGGGTTTTTGTTTAGTTGTTGCCCTCCTCCTCTGGAAGTGCCCTTGCCCTAAGACCCCCAAAGCCACCAGAACTGTTTTGTTTTTTTTCCAGAAGTCTAAGTGATGGAAACCTGGTGACGCTTGTAATTTGGGGGGTTAATTGATATAGAGCTGGTCAAGATTGTAAAACACTGAAGCTTCCTGTGACTAGTACTCAATTTGCTAAAGATTGGGGGGAGGGAAGGGTGAGAGGTAATGTGGAGGCTACAATCTTCAACCGTGAGAGCCAAGGACACTTCTGCAGGTGTTGTCAAGACGTGGACTGTTATCAAAACAAAAAGCTGATTCCTAACTGGACAGGGTGACCTGCTCCATGGGGAGGAGGGCATGAAACTCATTTTTAACTATGCAGGGTTGTGTGGGAAAATTTAGAGTTGGCTTTGCTTTCTTCAATGCTGAAATGATGTACTCAATAATATTTTGCTTTTGGGATTTTAAAATTCCTGAAAATGCCTGCTTTTATTGGGTCTGTTAGTTGGATGGCTGACAGAGCTATTTTCTTTCTTTCTGCCGTGAAATTTTGTAATTATTTGCTTAATGATTTTGTTTTATGGCTCTATTGTTGCTCTGAGCCGCCCACACTTTAAGATGGGCAGCTACACAAATATAAGCAAGCAAGGAAGCTGGTGCTTTATTTATGAAAATGGGATTTGTAAGCTGCTCCCTGGGCACCTTCAAGGAAGCAGGAATTAAATAATATGCTTTAATGCAAAGATGAGACGTTAGGTACAGAATCTTGAAAAATGTAATAGAAGATTCCACTTGTCTTTGATTAGTGAGTTCCTCAAGGCAGAATGTTGTCTTCTTGGACTCTTTGCAAGCCAGACTGTACTGATATTTTTGAGATGAACTACTAATTAACTTCTTTTTCATTTGCACATTGTTTTATGTCTAGTATTTCTCCAGTTCCTCCTGAGCCTCAGAGGCCTTGTTGATGTGAGGGGCGTATAAGCCCTTTAAATAAACCAGCATATGTTCTTTTCTTGTTTGCCAGGTGCTGTTAGAGTTTTATCAATTTCCCTTCAGGCTTTACTCTCAACATATCCAGCTCATATTACTAGTGGGTGTGTAACGCATTGAATCCCAAAGGCTTTCAGCTTGAGGCGGCTATTCTAAATCATCTTTGAAATTCATATTCTGTATTGTTGGATATAAAGTATTAATGAAGATGCAGACTAGTAGCTTCTAAAGAATAAGTTTTTTTGTTTTTCACATTCCCCCTGAGCTTGGACAGAATATCTAAACAGAAGCTTTGTTTTTTAGCAGGTTATGAAGTAATGAAGAAAGGGCAGCAACTATTGAAGGTAAGGATTCTAGGTGTAAGTCTCTAATTTTGAAGGCAGTTTGGAGAAAGATCTGCCTTCTGGGGAAGATATTATATTGTTGGCATCAACAGTGATTGTGGCCTTTCTCAATGTGATCAGCTCTCTTCATCAGTATCTGTGGTCAAACTTACCACCTCTGTCCAGTCTGCAGTTGCTTAATGTGAATGTAAGGAATGAGGGAACCTCTGCAGATAATTACTATTTCTGAAATATTTTCTTACTGAAGATGGTCTTCAACAATCTTTCCAGGTGCCCAGCATGCTACCCAAATGGACTCAACCTAGTATCTTGGATGAAGTGAGCAATAAACCATTCCTGAAGGAGCACCAGAATGTACAGGTGAAGGAAGTGCCTTTGACTCTGAAAAGAATATGACACGCTCATTTGTTCCTACACTAGTTCTCAGAGTCCTGCAGTGCCTGGTGCAAACATTAGACAGTTGCTAGCCTTGGCGGGAGTTTTGCACAGTCTTGCCAAAGGAACACATACAAACGAACCACCAAAAGAGAAAGATAATAATGTCTTTGCCAACATGTCAAACTTGCACACATGCCTCATTGATGGATATAAAAGAGCATGGTGCTCTTCGGGGCCATGGCAGGCCAAGTACATATAAGCAGGAACTCATTAGGCAGCCTGGCTGAGGCTACCCCATGGGGTGTGGTGGTGGTGATGGAATAGCACCTGCTGCCAGGACACCATTTTAGGAATACCATTGGCACAATTCCTTTATGGCACAGTCATTGGTCCTTAGTCCAGCTGAAGGTCCTTGAACAAACGAAGCTCTTTAGAGCAAATTCACAGTTGCTTAGATGTACCCCATATCCTTCTTTATCACTGAAGGTTGGTCTTCAGAGAGTGGGAACAAGAATTTGGTTAGCAACTGGCAACTGATGAGTGAAAACACATGATGTCCACTGGAAATCATGGTCTCACATGTATTTTTTATAACTACATTAGAGTTAATCTAGGTTCTTGAAGGGTGGTCCTAGGACTCCCGAGAGTCCTCTTAAGACCTCCTCAAGGGTCCTTCAAAATTAAATGTTTAATCAATATTAAAATTTGATCAAAAATCATGAGAAAAAGTAACGGCAGCAAATGTGCTAAGATTAGCTGGAAGGCCTGATGAGCATCCTCCTCACTTTGATTAAGATTATTTTTTGGTCTCCAGGAATTAGAAAGAGAAAACGAAGACTTGAAAGGAAGAATGAGGGAAATCCAGCAGGAACAACGAATCTTCCTAGACAGAATAAATGGGTTGCAGCTGCAGCTGAATGAGGTAACAAGTCCCAGTTTGTGCTGCACGCTGAAGACTTAATTGAGATTACTGGTATTTTATCATTTTCCTTCCTTCCTTCTCTTTTTCTTTTTGCCTACCCTCCCTTTCTGAACAATGGTTAGAATAAAGGGCGGGGGGGGGGGGCATTTTTTCTCTTCAGGCATGTTCTCTGGCAGTCCCAGCCTGCCCTTGGAAGGGGAGTCCCCCCGGCTGGAATCTGGCACCACTTTCGGCAGCAGTGAAAATAAAGCGGCCGGAGTGGCCGGTGTGCCCAGGGAGCAGCTTTGCCTTCTGGAGAGGGGTGATGATTTAGCAGTTGGGGCCAGGAGACATTTCTGGGGTTCACCTGGCTGCCCTCTGCAGGATGCTTCTCCTGTGATAATTAAAGTGAGGGGGTGTATTCATTTTCTCCGGTTTTTCATTTTAAACAGAGTGATCTTGAAATTTAAGTGCTAATCTGCATTTGGGGATCAAGTCATATTGTCGTTACCACATACTTGTCCTTCTGGCTTCGATTGACTGTTCTTCCTCTTGTATCAGAACAGTATTTTTAAAAAGAAGCTGTACTGGCTTCTAAGTCAATTGATGTGATTTATTAAGATTTTCTTTATTATGTGGAAGGAAAGAAAGTAATATCAGGAGAGGCGTTCCCCTTCTGCAGCTTTGGTCTCAGAATTGCGGCTTCTTGGCATTGTCAGAAAATTGGCCAGGATCTGGAATTGAAAAGGGCAGGATTTGTCCTTTGTCCACAAATCTAGTTGTTGTGGTTATTTTTGTTGGGATATGAATGCAAGGCAGAAAAAGTCTGTGAAGAGAATATTTTTTTGGCTAAATTTGGGACAATATATGAAATACAGAGGAAAAATATTCTTTGCCAGGTGAATTATAGCACCCCATTCATGAATGATGGAAGAAACAATAATTTCAAATACCTGAATATGTGTACTATTCTGTTTTTAGGAGCAAATGGTTGCTGATGATCTTGAAACTGAGGTAAAAAAGGAAATTCTTTCTATTGTTCATTGTCATTAACTTGAAACGAAAACATTTTTTCCATCTCCTTGGATAATTACCAAATAGATCTAAAATCATAAATTAATGGCAATGGGTGTTTTAAAAACATTTTGGGTTAATTGTGCTAATGTACAGGATTTATGTAATGGCAGCATATGTTAAGTCTCAAGTAACTTTAGCCTGCTTGATTGTGATATACTGTGGGATATTTGTGTAAATCAAATCTATAAAGTATATTATCCCAGAAAGAGAATCAGACATTTCTGGCTCCCATAGCAGTGACTGTTGCTCTCTTCTAGAAAGATGAGCTTAGGAGGCTTCTGGCCACAAAGGAACAGCAACAAGAAGAGAGTCTGCGAATGCTTGAAGCTCTGAAGTCAAAACTCCGTTTCCATGAGGTAATGTCCCTTCCTTTGGAAGGCATATTTCAGTTCTAGCGGTCCTTTGCAGAACCAGAAAACGTGTGTGTGTGTGTGTGTGTGTGTGTGTGTGTGTGTGTGAAGGGGGGGAGGGAGATATAGACAGAGAGAGGAGGAGACAGAGAAGAAACAATTGGGTGAGAATCACAGAACGTAAGGGGTAGAAGGAATCCAGGAGATCATCTAATCTGATCCTCTGCAGGGTCCACAATTACAGCATCCTCAACAGATGACCTTTGTTTCAGTACTTGCAGTAAAAAAAGAGTCGTTCCCCCCACCCCGTCCATCCGTCCCCCGCCCACCAAAGCATTCTGTTTCATGGCGGAATGGCTGTTGCCAATACAGATTTTTTTTCCCCCTGATAAACCTACTTCTTGTATTTTAAACCATCGTTTCTTGCCCGTCTTCTGGATCAATTCTGCCCAGTTGCCTGTATGACAGCCCTTCAGATAGAAACGGCCTTTTCTTTCTACAGACTCCTCTGTCCAGGCTAAGAGCAGCCGATGGTTTCCACGGTTGCCCACTCTGAGCCTCTTGACCACTGTCCTCCAGGCGATCTCCAGTTTGTGAACAGCCATCCCCAAATGCAGGGCCAGAACTGGGCATAATAATCTGGCTGTGGTCTGACCAACGCAGAATAGGTTGAAACTGTCACTTCTCTTCGTTTAGTGAGAGAGCTCGGTTGTGTGCTACTATCTCTTGTATATATTTTGTTGATAAGAATGAAACTTCCATACATTCTACAAGACCTTGAATTTTATCATTGGTAATTCTGAAGGAATTTTAAGCTCCTGATTGGCAGCCAATCAGCTATGTAAAACCATATCTGCTTTTTTGTGATTTCAGGGTGATCATGCAGGATCCGGAAGCAGCCTTAATAACAGTAGGTAGTTTTGGATATTTTCTTCAGCGTGCCAGGCAGTCTGTCTGTACAGTTCTTTTTGAAAATATAATATTTTGACATTTGTTTCAAATTAAAGAAGGAATATGTTTTGTTTTTTCTTAAGGGAAAGAAAATGTACCAATGATGGACCCAGGCTATTCTGCGGGATCCCAGGTACCTGAATATTGTTGCTTCCAGTGCAACTCCAGTTTGCTTTCCAAGTGCGATCCATGTATTATTTGGCATCTAAGTCTGTTACTGGGCACCCCTTGGAGACGCTACATTCCTCAGCAGAGCTTCCTGTAGTAGCTCCACCCGTGAGGAGGCTTTGAGAAGCAAGAACGTGCCCCCAAACTGCCCTCTTCCCCCTCCCCTTTTTTTGCTCTCGGTCTTGCCCTGCAAGTGTGGTTGTCACAATTGGCTTTTCTGCCCTTTTGAGGTGGGAAGTTCATAAAAACTACAGATTCACCACAAAAATAGCGCTGAAAGGTTGGTTTAATGCTATTTAAAAACAAGGCCTTTTCCCCAAAAGAATGGAACGTAATCTAGGCTATTTCCTTTCCCTTGTGGCCCCACTTGCTGCAGCCTCTGAACCCTTCCCACATGTCTTGCATTTTAATCTCCAAGGTAGTAAAACTTAGACGCAATACATTTATGTTAGTGGGGAGGTGTCCTATTTTCTACTTTTAGTCCTAAGTATAATCGGTGATCCAACAACACATCAACGCTGTCCATCCTTCTAACCAACATAGGTCTGCCTTTTAATCTGAAAAATTTTGGAATGAACTTGGGAGTGTGGCATTCAAAATACCCTAGTTGAACTAGGTGGAGGCTTTTCCTTTTACCTCAAAAACGGTTAGCAGTTACTGTTTTATCGAAACCGTTGCATGGAACTTAACCAATACCTTTGTTTTGTTTAAAGCAAATCCTGGCTTTGGCGCCCGCTAATCTCCAGAGCCGGTCCATGGTGAGGCCTTTGGAGCTCTTAAGCCCAACGCAGGGCTGCACCTCAGAGGCGGATGCTCTCAAGCGAGAGCTCAGCAGCATCAAGAGCTGCTATGAGGCAGCCAAAGGTGACCTCGGCAGGCTTCAGGCAGAGCTGTCCCACAAGACGGCAGAATGCAAAGCCCTGGACTGTGAGTGTGAACGGATTAAGCAGGAGTCGGACCAGCAGATAAAGCAGCTGGAAGACGCGTTGAAAGACGTGCAGAAGAGAATGTTTGATTCAGAAGGGAAAGTGAAGCAGATGCAGACCCACTTTCTTGCCTTGAAGGATCACCTGACGAGTGAAGCCGCTGCAGGGAGCACCAAGGGGACGGAGGAGCTGAAGGAGCAGCTGAAAGACATGAAGGCTAAGTATGAGGGAGCCTCAGCTGAAGTGGGCAAGCTGAGGAATCAGCTGAAGCAGAACGAGCTGTTAGTGGAGGAATTCAGGCGGGACGAAGCGAGGCTGGTGGAGGAAAACAAAAAGTTGCAGAAAGGACTTGGCATGTTGAAGGTGGAACGTGAAAAAAGGGAGAGGACTTTTTCCGAGGCAGAAGAGCAGCTGAAGGAAACGACAGTGAAATTGGCCAACAAGTTTGAGAAGATGAAGAGTTCTCTCTCCAGCGAAATTGACGAGAAGGACTGGAAGCTGGCAGAGTTGGAGAAAGAGCGTGAAAAGTTGTGCACGGAGGTCCAGCATCTGAGGACGGAGCTCGAGAAGCAGAAGGCTCAGTTGGCTCACTATGTGAAGCCAGAGGAACATAAGCATGTCAGAAGCAGGTATGAGCAAAGGGCCCGTGAGCTGGAGAAGGGGCACCTGGAGCTTAAACAGAAAAACCAAGCCTTGCAGAAGGCACTAGAAAGGGCTCAGGTGGACCACAGCCTCCTCAAGCAGCAGATGGAGACCCTCAGGGCTGAGGTGAAGACCCAGTATGTCCCCGTGAAGGTCAACGAAGACACCAGGAAAGTGGTAGGAGAGCTGAACAAGAAGGTGACGGAGGCCACGGAAAAATATCACCGGTATAAAGGAGAAGTAGAGAAACTACTAGCGGAGAAGCTGTCACTACAGGAGAAGATCAGTAAGTTTCAGACCATTTACATTCCTCCTGAAAAGCATGAGAAGGAAATAGGAGTCTTGAAATCGACCTTGGCAGACTTACAAAAGCAGCTTAATGAACTTAACCAAAGATATGAAAAAGAGCAGGCCAAAGTTTCCGAATTGGTTACTAAAAATGCGGCTCTCCGAGAGGTCATGAAGGAGCAGTATGTCTCTTCAGAAACTCACGAAGAGGCAAAAACGGCCTTGAACATCATGCTGGAAAGGACAGGTGAAGAATTGTCAGACCTGAAGGAGAAGATGGAAAAGGTGAAGCAGGAATGTTTGAAAGTCAACGAGGAGAATGGTGCACTGAAACAGAGGTTGAGGGGGCTGCAAAGTCAAATGCAGGCCGAATATCTCAGTACAAAAGACCATGACAGTAAAGTGGCTGCTCTGAATGCGACTATTCAGGACCTTCAGAGAAGCAACTCTGCAATGCAGGCAAAGTACCAAGAAAAGCAAGAAGAAGTTGCCCAATTGCATGCAGAGATTGAAGCCCAGAAGAAGGAGATTGACTTGATCCAAGAATGCATCAAGTCCAAATATGCTCCCCTTGCCAGTTTGGATGAAAAGAAGCGGGACTTTGAGGCAACTGTGGTGGAGCTGAAAAACCAGCTCCTGGAACAGGGGGAACAGCTCAGAATAAAAGAGGAAGAAATCCAGAAACACACCGAGGAAATCAGAAAGTTAACAGCAGGGATCCTGACGGTCCAAAATGATCTGCAGGAAAACTATATCCTTGCAGAGAAATACCATGCAATGGAGGGAGCGTTGGCGGCCAAGGCGGACGACCTGAGCAAGGAGTTAAGGGAGCTGCAGCAAAGGTTTGCCGAGGTCACGGGGGAGAAGGAGCGGCTCCAGGAGGAGAGCGCCAGGCAGCGCTCAGAGGTGCTCCTCCTGCAGAGCCGCCTGCAGGGCCAGTACGTTCCTCGGGAGCAGGTGGAGGCCCTGGAGAGGAAGCTCAGCTGCACCATTGAGGGCCTGAAAGTGGAACTTGACAGCCAGGCCAGCAGAAACCAGCAAGAGCTGCAGAGAGCTCAGGCGCTGCAACAGGAACTGGCCCATCTACAGGCCACCTCGGTGCCCCTGGCAGAACACTCCCAAATCAGAGCAAGGCTAGAAAAGGAAATGGCTGCTCTCCAGTCCGGGTGGAGGGAGAAGGAGGAAGAAAACCAAGCCAGAAAAGAAGAGGTCTCCCGCCTACACTCTGACCTTCAGAGCACGAAGCAAGCCCTAAGCAAGCTGGAGAAGAGAGAGGTGGTGGAGGCATCTGAGCACAAGAGGGTGAGGAGCAGGCTCGAGGGCCAGGTGAGCAGCATGGCTGAGAAGCTAGCTGAGCTGACTAAAAAGATGGAGAAGCTGCAAGACGATTCGCTGAAGGCAAACGCAGAGGAGCCGTCCCCGAGGGACGAGAAGGAGCTGCTTCAGCCAAGAAATGTCAACATTGAGCAGGAAATCAAAGACCAGAAAGAGCGGTGCGACAAGTCTTTGAGTACCATTGTGGAGTTGCAGAAAAGGATCCAGGAGTCTGCCAAGCAGGTGGAGGCCAAAGATAACAAGGTGAGCCAGTTGAAACAGGGAAGCTGAGGTGTCTAAGGAGGCCAGGCTGACTTCTCCTAGCGTAGGTTTCCTTCCAGTAGCTTTGGAATGGAGGAAGCCATTAGAGAAGGGTTGCTTCCATAAAGCGGCATTTACACAAACCCCCAAGGACATTGAATTGCCAGTAGTTGATCTCTTGAGGACCTTTACGGGATTTCCAGGTGAGCAAACGGTGCACTATCAGGTTTTGTGCTCACATTTTCCTCTGCAGACATTTGGGTTCATGTGTGGGGAATTTGAAGCCCTGCCACTGTTTTTTCACATCTTGGTTTAATTACAGCGTGCCCACCATCTCTGTTTGAGCGCCTGGTAGCTCCCATGTCGTCACTGTAGCGTAGCTGCTGGCAAGCTCCGAGGGGACGTTGCATTACCACAGCATTGCCATTGAATAAAAAATAATACCTTGGTCAGTCATCATCTTAAAGCGCTCCGGAGTTTGGCTTTCTGACCTGAAGTCTCTCTCAATTTGGGTGGCCTGCATTCCTCCTTCCTCCTGTAGTTGGGATGGGTGGAGTAGCAGGTCGTCATTCCAGAGCCGTTGATGTAGCTAAAACAAAAGAGACAAGAGCTGCTCCGGGTGGAGATGTCTGCACTTGTTTCCTACTTCCTTTTTATGTTAGGCAAGAATTCAGTGTGAAAATGGGGCCGGCTCTCTCTTGTGGGCAGAGCCAGGTTTCTGTCCTCTCCTAGGTGAAACCTGCCCCAATCCCAGGGACTGGGTTGTGTTCCTTCTCCCTGTTTGTGAGCCAGGGGTGATGGGAGGCCGGGGCTTTCTTGTTCTTTTCATGGAAATGTTATCAATCTCTCTCTCGAAGATAACGGAGCTTCTCAATGATGTGGAACGGCTCAAACAGGCTCTTCATGGCCTCTCACAGCTTACCCACAACATTCCTGCACAGAGGCAAATCCCACAGATGGAGGTGCTCCAGAACCAGGTGAAGACTCTGCAGCAGCAGCTGGCTGTAAGTAGGACTCTGGGACCCATTGCAGGGGCTTCGGAGCGCCACCCTTAGATCTGGTGGGAGAATAATATCTCAGTCCTTGCGTAACTTGCAGCTCTGCACATCTGCAGAAGAAACCTGAGTGTGTGGCTCCTCCTTCCATTAACACTTGTTTCCTAGAAAAGAGAATATATATTGCTGTGCTACCCCTCTCACTCACACATACACACAAAAGTGTGGCTTTAGGAAGCTTATTAATGTTCCCCAGCAGTTCCCTTTACCCAGCCTCAGAACTGTCCCAAATAAATCCAGCCACAAGCAGGTCAAGGTTAGTCCACAAAGCAATTGCCAACAGTCCATAAAACAATGGGAAATTGCTCCAACAAAGGAGGCCACCAAACAAACTTAACTCCACCAGGCCATACTGACAACTCCTACACCTACAGGAGTTAACTTGGCTAGAGACGTTCAGAGTCTCCAAGGCACAAAGTCAAGCAGGAAGCCCAAGGAAAGTATAGCCGTAAATGAAACACGTTGTTTGCAGCAACGCTTCTCTCTGCCTGCCGTGATGAATAGTTTTGGGTGTAACCCATCAAGACGGGCAAGGGCCTTCTCCAAGTAATCTGGCAGATCTCCATTGCTCTTGTCTTTCCTCTGCCTTGCGTGCTCTCAGATCCACCATGGAAGGTGGCCCCTCACTGACCTGCAAGCTGTGTCCAGCCACAGCCTCCCTGTAAAACTCTTTCAGGCGTCCCCCGTCAAAGTCATTAATTAGCCCAGTTCCTGACATGCCCAGGAATGAGCTCATCCTCCCCTGGGCTGGCCTCCGAGGAAGAATTAGAGTCGCCCAAGGGAGACATCACAATAGCTTAGGGGGAAAAGTGTGGCTCCTCTCTGATCTTGGTTGTTCCTTGCAGACGCCTCATGATCTGACTCGATCCCATCAGTCCATGGCTAGTTTGCAAGCAAACAGCCAAGCTGAGAGAGCCGCAAGGGTTCCTTGACGGATGGGCTGTCTGTCTATCCAGTTTATTTGCCACCGATCTTGTATACAACAACTTTGAGTGGCTTACAACATAAAACAATTAAAAATATTAAAACCCACGATCACAGAACACAGTGGATACAGTCCTTAACATCAGATGGGGAAGAGCAGGGCTGGACCGGTGGGGGGGGGGGGGGGGGGGGGGGGAGTTTCAAGTCAACCACCTGCAGTAGGAAGCTCCTCCCCTGGATCCCCCAAGCCCTCTGGCACCGCCGGGTCTTCAGGCTCTGAGGGGAGGGAGGGAGGGAGGGGGGGAGGGGGAAGACCTTCTAGAGGGCAGAAGCCACGCAGAAGGCTCTTCTCCAGGAGCCTGCCAGCTTTTAAAATCTTTTCCTTTTAAATATGGGTGGTGGTGTTTTTTCCTGGTGTATGCCAACGTTTTACTCTGCAAGGAAACCAGCAAGCTCGGAGAACCCCAAGGACCCCTGACTGTCAGCACTGGATTAAAACCTCAGGAGGAATTCCCAGGGGTGTCCCTTGGGTGACAGCTCCCCCCTCCTCAACCAGAGGGAAGGGTAGAAAACTAATGGAAGTCTCCTCCTGTGTTTTAGGATGCTGAGAGGCAGCACCAAGAAGTCATCTCAATCTACCGGACGCACCTTCTGAGCGCTGTTCAGGTGCGTGGCCTGGCGGGGGCTTTGGGGAGGGAGGTTTGCTTGGCCTCCCCTAGGACAACGGCCGTCTCCTTTAAAGGAGGCTTCTCACTCAACCGTCCAACCTCAGAGCAGGAAGGGACGGGTCTTCGGTGTTCACTTGTTTACTTTCTTAAAGGTCTCCTGTTAATTTTGCAGGGTCACATGGATGAGGATGTGCAGGCGGCCTTGCTCCAGATCATCCGCATGCGCCAGGGGCTGATTTGCTAGGGGAAGGGAGGCCCAGCTGGCTCCGCCGGCTGCAGCCACTTTGCCAACTTCTGAACGCCCCTTAATGCTTAGGAGATGGTAACACTCCCCCCCCCCCACCAGCTGCTTGTAGCAGGAATATGGAAAAATATTTACACAAACCCATTTGTAAACAAAAACGAAAAGATCACCTGTGATTCTGAAAACAGACGTTTTCCATTTATAGGTAGTCAAAATGATGACCAAAGCAAAGTTCTCCGGAATGTCGGATTGACAGCCCTAAAAGGCGGCTAACCCCACCCCCTCCTTGCAGGTGCCAGGTCCTGAGCTGGGGGGGGGGGCTCAGCAGTGGGCCTGCGTCTTCTGGCCCAGGCGGGGGGTGTCCTCCTGGGACTGGCCCCCTCGGCTCCCCGGTGGCTTGGCTGGCCAAGCTGCCTCTTTGAAGACTAGCTAGAAGTAGTGATGCCTTTTTATTGCAGTTTTCTTGAGAGAAAAATACATCAGATAATATTTTGCTTTTTACAAGATAGTTTTTCACAGAGTGTTGATTACTGATTTATTTGTAGTTTTAAGGACAGCAGGACTGGGATAGATAAAAATGAAAAGCTGTTATGAAACCTTGAAATACAGCAGCCTAAAATTTGTGTTTGATCATCCATTACTTTTTAAAAAAAGAAGAAATCAACTTGTTTACAGATAAGCTAATCAACAACTAAAACAGTTGGAGAAATTTAAAAAAAAAGTTTTTTTTAAATGCAGAAACCAAAGAATACCTGGGCCTCTTGTGGTGGGCTTGCCTGTACTGCGGGACCCTCCCCCCCCCCCCGCTCTTCCCCAGCCACGCGTTGGAGGCGGGTCGAGGGCTGAAGACACGCTGGTCCTTTCCCGATCTGTGGCCTCCGTCTTCCTAGAGCAGCAAGTGCATCTGTTCAGTTACCAGGGAACGGAACTGCGTCCTTAGGTACCTTCAGAGCACTGGTGGCCCTGGCCGTCAGCGGTGGCTCCCTTCCACTTGGAGTCCTGAAAGACCCCTTCCTTCCTTCCTTCCTTCCTTCCTTCCTTCCTTCCTTCCTTCCT